TATTTTCTTTTTATTACGTTTTAAATATTTTATAACAACATTTGTTAGATTTAAGTATATCCGCAGATAAAATCACGGTCAAAAACTAGTGTTGCATTGCTCACATACGTTATGGGCCAATCCAATTTGATTGAGCCCGCTAAACGACCGGGTCACTGACCCTTGACAGTTTGACAGTTATGTGAGCACGTGTTTCGAATGATTAAAGAATATTCATCGATGTATCGAATATCTAGTAATGTCGATAATCGAGTAATAAATTCCATGTAAAAAATCGAATTAAAAATCGATTCTTGAGATGAACTTTTGTTTGTAATCTATTAATTCTTCGAGTGTCATTATTTTTGGGTGGAAAAATGTTAAAAAAGCGTAGTTTTCAACAGTTCTCTTTTTGGTAGAATAGGAATATGGTAAAAAATACCTGATCGGGTTAGGGTTGAAGTTATTTCTACTTTTGAGTTTACCTTGTATGTTTAAAATTAATTATTAGCCATATGGGAAAGGAAAACATAACGAAAGTTTAAATGGATGGATGTTTGTTACAATTTGTAACCTAAACTGCTGAACGTATCTCGATGAAATTTAACATAGATGTGGAGCAGTCTGGAAGAACACTTAGGTCACTTTTATTTTTAATTTCACGCGGATAATGTTGCGGGCGAAAGCTAGTCATGGTATAATATAATAGAGCGGTTGCTGTCCAAAACAAACGAAAAGATACATAGATTCCTCATAAAGAACAGAAATTTAATTAATATAAACCCTGGGTGATATAATTTATTTCACTCATTTTACAAAAATGTTATTGTATTTAAAACGTGAACAATAGATTTAAAAAGGCGAGCATGTTAGAGGCGTAATCAATTTTCCCAGTCCACCGACTCGCAAAGGGCTGGCGTGTCTAAAATTTAATTCTGTTTTTTACCGTCTATCCGTGCAGAAAGTAGGCCGCGTTTGACAAAAGCTAGGTGTTGTACTCCATTATGCTTGTTTATGTTGGAATTTACATATCTACAGTGCACTGAAAGGCTGGTAGCTATTAAGTTTGTGAAGTATTTTTTTTTAAATAACGAGGAATCGGAATATGTTTTAAATAACAAGTTGATCAAACATTGTCTTAATAATATTGAATTGTAATGTTTCGATTTACTTCTTTAATTCTTATCTTACTTCTTACTAATGTTATTAATGCGAAAGTTTAGATGGATGGATGGTTTGTTAGAGTTTGTAGCCTAAACGGCTAAATGGGTCTCGATGAAATTTGGCATAGACGTAGAGGATAGTCTGGAAGAAGAAAATTGGGTACTCACTTTTGTTTTTTCTACTTCCACGCGGGCGGAGTCAGTAAGATAATTAGACTTTTTTTTTTATTTCCAGTAGAAGATAAAATCAATGATTAAGATTCTTTTATTCTCCTTAGAACATTAGATACTAAATAATTTGAACGTTTAATCAATTTAAGAACTGTAACCTAGTAATGTTTGGCTGCGAATAGTGTAGTACCAGCCAAATAGGACAACCGGGTGATTGAGTTCTTGTAGGAGACACTTTCCGGAAGATGTGCATATTACTATCGATAACTAGGCAGCAGTGTGCTTTGCAAACGAGGGGATAAAAAAAAAGCAATTAGCAGATCTTTTTCTTACAGACACATTTAAACGCTGCGTCCCATTGCTTATTGTTCCGCGTCGTCTGTGTACAGAATGTAAACGTGGATACCGCAACATTCCTCGATTGTACATCGCTATAGGTAGAAATGGATTGCATGAAAAGTGACATATGTAACAAGAAATGACAGATGACGGAAGATAGATCTATTGCATCTATCCGTGAGTGTGATAAGGACAGGGAGATTATGCTTCAGCAGACCACACTGTAACATGACTGAAATTGTATTTAACGTCAATGCGTCGACAGTAAAATGAACAATCTCAATTGTAGATATCGTAATTCGAAATCCTATCCCCCTTATCTCCCGATAGCACCTTGTGATAAGCCATTGTTTCGGCAAACGGTTTGATTACGTAATATTGTTGTGTTTGCACCAGCAACGTTTGCAACGTTTCCCGAGTAGCGACATCTACATATGTGGTAGAAAACACACAATTTTTTGAGTCTTGAAAACTTGTATGAGTTTGAAATTGCTGTTTTCATTGTTCTTCTTACTTTAAACTTGGACAGGAAAAAGATCGAATTGTTAGGGAAAAGAGGAGTTTAACGTTTCGATGTCCGGGTCCTAACTGACCTGCAGTCTAATACTTTTCAGTCACATTTAACTTCAATATCTCGATAAAATATCAATACACTGATAAATGTATATTGTATAAATATCGAGTATCGATTTTCAAATCGATTGCGTGACATGATTAATTCGGTGTAGTTTCTGTTACTTGGACTAACTCGTAAATGTTTCGTCGACCCCGTCTCTAAACTGTTGCGAATTAACGCGTCACATCACTTACGATTGAGTGTGCAATACTTAATCTAAATGGTACAGACAGGAATAGCATTTGATATCCAAAGAATTAAATACCCCACCCACCATGACCATAAGAGCAATCATGGTAGAGGTGTTGCTATTCGAAGTAATACTAAGAGCGTCAAATGAGTATGAAATAAATATCCACTACTGTACATTCTCTTGATATAATGGACAATATGTAATGTACAAATGTTTAGACCCATAGCATAACACAGTTAACGGACAACTAGGCCGGTGGCTATTAGAATCACAAATTGATATCTTCCCGGTAGCCTCGTCGGTTCCTACATTATGTAACTAGCGTTCTGATAGGATGCAACGATATGCCTGTCATTTACATTATAAAAGAGATCATAACAGCTATACTATAGTATTCTCCCCAGTGTGCAACGGTCACATCGCACATCCTTGCCCTCAGCACAGTATGTGCTTTTACATCTGTCAGACTTCTTATCTGAATTCACTCCCTTAAGCATATCCTCTTTCACAAATCCATCCATTTCTCTTCCACAATCAATCTTTATACTCTCTTGTTTCTTGCAGCGGTTATATCAATATTTTGGTAGCTTGTTTATTTGCCACCTTATACTATAAAAACAGCGATTCTAAAAGTTGTCTTGATGAGCCACGCGTGTTTTGCAATGTCGCCAGTTTGCTTTGAAATGTTGGGTCCTTCACGAAGCGAGCGTACGTTTCCTCAGAGGTTAGAAACGCATCTGTAGTTCCTCTGGTATTGTGTTAATAACCTTGGTTCCCGCGTTTACTTTGCCCTCTTTTATAAAGAGATAGGAGTATTTGTAGAAAAGTGTTTAAATATGTATGTAGGCTTAGTAAGAGGTGAATGGCATGATCAAGAAGAGAGTGATGACTGAGATGATGGAAAAGAGGTTGGTACAGTTAATGAGTGTGATAAGGACAGATATATGTAGAAAAGACTTTAACAAGATTTTTAACTTCACTCTTTACTGTTAGGAACAAAATTAGTACCGTGCTGTAGAGTTGGCGCAACTCTAGATTATCGGCATAAACGTCACGTCCCTAGCTGACAGCTGTCAATGTCACTAGAAGTATGGATAGATTGGCGCGTAACTTGAGGCTTGACGAGAAGTATTGCTCTGAGTTAAAAGCGACAGTATCAATTAAATAAGTAAAATTACTTAGGGTAGGCCCCCACCGATTCAGTGGGGACGTAGTGATGATGAATATTTTTAAATTATGTAACTAATAAAAATAGACGTCCCTTATATTACTAAAAATTATCAATTGCACATGCATACGCGGTCGGTGTAGGGACCAGTAATTAGTAGTAGCGTAGGCGGTGACCTGAATATGTTCGGTCGACCACTTTGTTGATTTAAGTAAACCGATACACCACTGATTGGGTATGCAAGTATACACTGGTATTATTAATAAGTAATATAGAGAAATTATTAGGTCAACAATTTAATTTTTTTTTATATTTAAGTTAAAAACTATAGGAAATTTGAACACGATAAACGACCTCAGCCAACAATCAATTTCAAAATACAGTAGAACCTCAACATAAAAACCTCTATAACTTCAAAAAATATGTTCCCTTCCCATCAGAGCCCAAAACCTCTATAACATAGACCTTTGATAACTTAAAACCTCTGTAACTTGTAATATTTTGTGTTTTCCTTAGACTTTAACTTATCGAGGTTCTACTGTAGTAGTTTTAACTAATTTCTGTGGAATTACAAAAATGGATGGATCGAATCGATAGATTGAGATTTTCTCTTACCGTTGCGATTTTGATATCAGTTATCTCTGAATCAAATAGATTAACCCACCTAAGATTGGATTCGGCTGATAAACAACTCTTCGTAATCCATAAATATCTTTTAATTCCAGGCGAAACGTCTCAACGGCAA